AGGCGTCAATAGCCGCCAATGGCAATAAGTTAACAGTAAAGAATAATAAGCAGAAGTTTGAATCTTAAGATGTTTTTTTATAAGTATAGAATTTATATTTGTACAAGCTGTGGAGGGGAGGGGGGTGTTTACCTACCCTCTTGATGGCGCCTTTTTCGTAAACGGGAAATGTTTATTTTAAAACTAAAACCAACATAAATTCTCTACAAAAAAATTGCGTGATTAAAATATATTTTTTTCTGTTTAATTTGTTGAACCAAAATTATACTAAACTTTTATATTGATATAATAAAATACCAGTTTACAATCGCATTAAAAATCAAACTATACCGAAACATCAAATTCGTTTTGAGGATTTGTGGATACATAATATTTGTACATTTAAGGTATTGTGTTTTGATGTTGTCATTATCGATCACTTTTTTCAAATACATCGGTACACAAAAAAAAAAAAGAACATCGAAACTTATTGGTAAGAGTTTATTTCTGTTCACCTGTCGCCCACCGTGCGTGCCAGAAGCTGTAAGTGATTTGTATTTTTTGAAGGGTTTTCTCATATCCACCTCGCTCCGAGTAAACGGATTCCCGCTGCGAGAGTGTATCAATGTTGTTCACAGTACACTCCATTATTCTCTGCCGGTTCGCATTTTCTTTTTTCAATTATCCGTCTCCAAGCGATTCCCGATAAAGTTGGATATTTATTATCGGGACAAGATTTTGAACAACGGTGGACGGAAATAGGAGGGGTGGATAGTGTAAAAAAAACACACACATACAAACACAAAATAATATACAAGATTTAAACGGTCACACCACGTCGTTATCGTCCAACATATCGTTTCCACCCCGTTCCGTTGTAGTTTTCGTGTAGTTAATAATTTGTTAATATTAATTATTATAATGGAAACCTACAGTGTCACGTGACGAAGTATTTAGGTACGTTTTCACAAATTAAAAGCGAAAATATTATTTGTGTCTAAAAAAAAAAAATAGACAGTAATCCAGTTTTTTAAATGTACATATGTTATGAATAGAAATAAGAAACAAAGTCGGTGTATTATGTCTGAACGAAACGTATCGTCTGGAAATGGTAGTTGTTGACTAATTTGCGTCGAATATAAAACATTTTGTTACAAAACTGCTTGAAACTAAAATATAATTTTTCGATTATCTATGTCTCGTACCTAGTTAGCAGTTGGCGTTTCATAAACTTCGGTTGTTACCTTTTAATATTAATAATAATAATAAGCGTTTTACATAAAATACTACTGCGCCGTTTTCTTTGTGTTACTAACCGAAACTACAAACCCATAACTGACAACCCTCACGATAATACCATTATTATTATAATTATTATTATTGTAGTTGCAATATTATTATTTTTCGATCCATCTTGTGAGAATCATGATCCCGGTCGGTTACGGTACGTCGGTTACCTACCCAATATATTATTTTACAAAATATAATAGCTACGGTAGCTACAGCTTTGGTAGGAAAAAAACGGTGTCCGGAATTTATCGCCATAAATCCGTTTTTTATCCCGACTACGACAACGACAAGGCCGTACACGGGTGTACAGTTGAACGTTTTTTATTTTATTTTTTTTTTTCCATAGGTTTTAGACACACACACACATAGAGATGAAAACAAACAATACATCTTAATTTTGTAACAAACATCATATTTTCGCGTTAAAACGAAATAAAATAACGTGCGGTAACAATGTATTACTTGCAGTGTGTGTTTGTGTGTATTTGAATGGAAAAATTCTCGAATATATTATTATAATATGTACAAGCGGTTCTACATTATTATTACGAGGCGTACTTGTGGTATTATTATAATTAATGTGTTATTCCGTTGGGTTAAAACTGAGCAACGATTGTGTTTAAAAATAATTCAGAGAAATTAAAAAGAATCCCTGAGAAGTCCCAACGTTACAAAGATATTATAATAGATAATAATATTGTTGTGTAAAGTTATACGTATAAATAGGTATAAAATATATGCAAAAAACCGTTTGGTTCATTAACCACTGAAATTGCTTTGTATACAAACACAATATTTTGTATAGTAAAGATTAAAAAAAATAAAAAAAGACACGCATATTGTATGATCTTTACGACCAATTATACTTTGCGTGTAATGTGAAATGAAAAGGCGAGTAAATTCACAACAAAGGAAAATAATTTTCCAAAAATATGAGAGCCACAAACTGCTGCAGCATTAGTTATGATAATGACAACGTTATGTGTTTGATAAGCACGGTAGAAATCCAATGTGAAATACAAGGGCTAATTATTTGGCATAACGGCTGGTTTTCTAACAAAAGAACGGCGACATCCATTCGAGCGAGAAACTTGTTTAATCCGATTAGTGTAATTATGTAAACGACAATAATTACTATTGGATGTCTCTGAATGTCGAGGGGGCAATCTTAAATGGAAAACAACCCTGATGGCCATTCATTTTATTGGAACGACACACAACAATGGCAATAATAATAAGAAATTACTATGTAATTCTGCGAGACGTTTTAAACGTGTTATACTTTGCCAACGGTGACCGCGCTATACAATCAAACGATTCTCCTTCTTGAACGAGTCACAATTGATTATTGTTTTTTTTTTGTATATCACTTTTAATTCAATGATATGGACGAAATTAAAAGCCCTAATACTTGTCGGCATATGTGTGCGAGTGGGCCAGCTGGATATGAGAACGGTGAGACATTGCCGAGTGATAAACGACCGAAGAATAAAAGTTGCGAAAACTAGCGAAACTTAGCGAAAACATTTTGTCGGGTAAACGTTTACAGGGTGATGGACAATGAATAAAAGTATTATACATGCTGATGGAAACTGCCTGTTGTGGCATATCGAAGGTGACGCCGAACGTCTTAACAGACAGTAATAATATACAAAATAAATCCCCATTATACCTATACCTCTATATAAACGTATTAATGCTTAATGTGGCCCACCACTGTATATACGATATTTCTCGATTTACTGAATAAACATGGTAGCGTATATTATTGTGTTCTCCTTTAGCCATCGGAAATCTCATGGTAACCCACGAAAGGCAAAAATATCTACTTCATTACAAAGTCATTCGCAGTATTTGTTGCTAAGTTGAAAAATGTCTATCGATGTTCACAGCAAGTGCATAATGGAAAAACTAGAATGAATAAACTAGAAAAAAAGACATGACTGCAAAATTTGAGATATGCACGAATAAATGATGAAAAGAAGATTTTTTAAGTAATCTCATCGATATGATTTTCATGGGCTGAGTATTACAGTATCACGTCAACTTATTCTTAAAAAGTAAATGTTTTCAAATGTTTAATAGGCATATTGCATACATAATACAGTACAAGGCACGGGAATAGACCTGTTTTGAAATAAGCGGCATGCACACCGTCAGTTATTGAAATAAATGTATTAGTTTTTGTTAGAAACAAAAATTCTGACGTGCCATTTAAAAATATGATTTGCGGAAAGATATCTGTTAGGTGATGGCCGTTTTCATTCACACAAATTTCGAGTCTCATTCTAATGTTGGAATCTTCTCGACCGACCTTTTCGATCTTATTGCGAATCACAGCCTTTAAATCTTCCAGTATTCTTGACTTTTCTTTATAGACTTGTGACATTCTGTAGCCCAAAAGAAAGAAATGGCAAGTTGGACAATCTGGTTAACGAGGTGACCATAAGGCATTGCTGAATCGTGAAACGACTTAATTAAGAAACAAAGAACGCGCAACAATCATTGAAGCTCTTGCAGTGTTTGTGGTCTCCCCATCTTGTTGGAACCATAAATTCCGTTTACTGATTCGGCTTCTCCGTAGTTATGGGCCAAGAAAGTTGTTGATCATGTTGATGTAAGGATAACTCCGTTCTTCTCGAAGAATAAACGATCAATAACACCACGCTTACTTAATGCACACCACACTGTTCTTTAGGGCTGTGTAAAGGTCTCTCGTCGAAGCTACAAAGATTTTCTGTGGCAACAGTTCTTCCTGCTCTTCCATCTAACCTAGTGGTTGGTTTTTTATCACTGTTCCTCTCGTCCAAAACGAATTTCTTCATTGAAAAACTGCTTTAGGAGGAGAACAGTGGTACACCATAGTCAAAATTGCCGCAGTGTGCTTATAACCGACTCGCCAATCTGTACGTATGTATTGTATAAGCGCGTAAAGAGTGAAATAGCGTCCTCTATCTATCAGTGCTATCAACTTAGCACAATGCATTTAAAAACAAGTCTATTCCGGAGTTTCACTATATATGTTATAATATACACTAAAAACTGTTACTATCAATTAGGCTGCTAACAACATTAGCGTGATATTGTGGTCAGCTCGTGCTACGGCCTTAAAACTATGCCGCAGTAACGCCATCAATGGGGAAAATGAAGAAATATAATTCCACGCTCTATGCATGGGTACATAAACATACTTTTTGGGGACATTGCTAGATGGCGGTACTGTAGTACAATAATTTTATTTATAATGTTCCGCAACAAGAGATTTCTTAAGACCCGACTGCTTTAAGGTTCAAATGAATTATTAATAAAACAGTAAAGGTGTTATATCTTAACAGTGTTGTATCGTTTGTGACTTTCTTTTGCATCCCTCTAATTAAGGATTTAACTCAACCATATGCGCTATATGTGGTGTTCAAAATATCATGACAATACTGATTGCGATGTGCAATTGAGAAAGTTATCATTTAATAATAATCATTTTTTTTATAATAGACTATTGCTTACAATTTTAGTTTGATAAAGTAAAATAATTAAAAGAAGTTTTTATTGTGCTTTCTTAGTACCTTTAGTAATTACCTATTATAGTTTAAATTGTATTAAAGAATCTAATATTGTATTTCGTTAATGTTTTGGCTAAACAATGCAAATCTCACAGTAGTGTAGAAAAAGCTACACATAAAATTTTGTATCATGCGTATTTTCGAGGTATGACGATCTGGAGCTATACTCACTTATCACGTATGAATAACCATCCACGGTGAGAATGCACTTTTTTTGGAAAGCATTTGACAATATTAGGACGTTCACTTGTACCCCTCGGTCCACCATCTGAACTATGCGGGGGACATTTTCAGCTTGGCCGTCATCAGCGTTCAGCGGTGGCTGTTGTGGTAAGTCTTGGCCGTTGTCCGCGGACGTCGATGGCCGTTGTGATACGTCTTGGCCGTTGTCTGCGGACGTTGATGGCTGTTGAGATACGTCTTGGCCGTTGTCTGCAGACGTCGATGGCCGTTGCGGAGCATCTTGTCCGTTGTCCGCGGACGTCGATGGCTGTGACGGTCCACCATCGCCGGTTTGGACAGTATCGTCCGGTTTGTTCGAATGCTGCTGCTGGTCCATCTTACGGACGGCTGCGGTGTCCAGAAACCAGTGACTGTGCCGCTGACGGTTTGGTCGTCGGGATGAATTAAAAACACGTATTGGTGATATTACCTTTCTCTCCTACTCGTCCCGTTTTTCACTAGATGGTATTGACGACGACGTGAACACGTGACGCCGTCGTGTTCGACAGCCGACTACGTTTTTAATAATATTATTGCTATAACTGCCGCAGTAGTTTTGACATGAGTAGTAAATAAATGATAGTGATGTCAGACGTGTCGTCTGGCGGACCGACAACAACCTGTAACGCGGTAAAGCGAGCGCGTGTGTTCGGGAGTCTCGCGGTCCGTCGGCGACGACGGATGTGGCGTGAAGCGTCTAACGTTGGCCGATGATCGTGAGCGTACTGCCGGTGGCGGCGGCGGCCAGTGTTTTTGGTGCGTGGACAACGGCGGCGGCAGCGGGCGGTCCTTAGTGCGCGCGCGGCCTGGGGTACGCCTTAACTGTACGCCGTCGTGCCTTGTCGGGTACTACGTGTAATTGCATTTTATCATAAAATTAAAATTATCATTCTTCATAAATTAGAAAAAATTGTGAAATTTATTTTTCTAATTAAAAATGTCAAAATATTTATTATATAAATCACTGAACCGATTTCTACCGTGGCAACTCTATAGATCAGAAATCGTACCTGGATGTTACTTTATTGAACCAAAAGTTTTAAAAATGCATGTCTTTTCCTTAAAAATAGAATATAGCCCCTCAAAAAAATTACATATTTTTCAACTTCAAATTGCGGCACATTGTTTAACTTTTTCAAAATAGTCAAGTCTTTTTCAAAGTTGCGTGGACAATAGTCCATTATTGTCTAGAGATAATATTATCTCTATACGTTGACAAGCCAAATAAATATCAATACCCTTTCTCCTAGAGAGAGTGAAACTTTCCTTTATTTCCCCTTTTTTGGTTTAATTTTAGGGCTTAAAGTCTGAAAACATATCTGTTAATAACAACAGCAACGAATGATTAGGGAAGACAGACAATCAACCCTAATCTTATCCATTCTAGCACTAAAAATACAATTGTAAGCACTTTTTGTCATTACCAACATTTACAACTGAAGGGTGACATTCCAAAACGTGGTATTGCTATTAATTATGAAAATAAATTAAACATTTAGTTTTGCTGTAAATGTCAGAAGGAGTTCAATTTTTTAAATTTTATAACTTAATATTTATTGCAAAAACAAAAATGAGACTTGAGTCATAACGTGGTACTGCTGCTATTCTTGTAATCCAAAACGTGCCATTACTCTAGTCTCTAATGAACATAAAAATGTTCTATTACATACCTATCTTCATTCACGTTAGATAAACGTGCTATTGCCATGTATACCTATTAATAGTGAAGTAGACTTGATCTAGTTAACGTAGTGTTTACTAAATAAAAGTTTATATATTATATCTCTAGACATATTTTTTACCAGTCAGAAACATTAAAATTTAGTTTCTTTGATAATATACAAGATTATATTATCACACAAAAAATATTATTAAAATAATTTATTCTAAGATGGAGAAGACCTTGTAAGTAGGTATACAAAGTTGTGATAATCACGATAGTACTGAAAATGATGTCCCAAGCACTGACAATGATAATTTAACTAAAATCATTTATAATACTTTGCCTAACTTTTAATTTATTTGTTTTAATTTTCTAGTACATATTTTAGAACCTAAAATATGTACTATCAAAATTTTTAACTTTTTTTGTTTATCATTTTTAATCATTGTTATATCAGTATTTAAACATTGAATCATCAACATTCCAACTAACCTAAAAAATAAAGAGTATTATAAGTTATCTTGATACTGTATTGATTAAATGATATTTATAAACAATTTAAATAGGTAAGAATATAATCATTTTCTTTTAATTTAATTCTATTGTTAGGTACATTAACTGATTCTATGTTAAAGACAATTCACAATTTCGAGAAATAATATATTTTATAATGGATGCCTATAGATTTCATGCATAAATAAAAATTAATAACATATAATACTATTATATTATAATTTATATGTAACAGCAGTAGCAAGTTTTGAAAAAAAATCTACACATATTTTCCAAAACGTTCTATTGCAGTGAAGTGTAGTTCAACACGTACTATTACTTGCACAGGACATTTTACATCAATTCAGATTTAAAAATATTTTTAAAAAAATACGTTCAAAATTAAAAATAAAGTGATTTTGATGTTTTTTATGTTTTACGTGTAATCACTCCTATTTTGGAATGTAATATTCAGTCATATTTTCATCTTCTCATCATTTTATATTTTGGCATTAACACGTTTTTGAATGCAAACTAAAATGAACAATAATTACTTTTTACTCTTAACAAAACAACAGTACCTAGCAAGTTAGGAACACATTTTCTTTTACCAATTTTACCAAACAAAAAACTTCTGACTTTGTTATCATACACACCGGTCTGTAGGGAAACGCTAAAACTATTTCCCTAAAATATGAAAAACATGTTCATTTATAATACTTTTTTATCTACAGAACCACAACCAAACATCGGTTTACTGAATTGTGTAAATTGTTTTAATAAAATTACCATCTTACTATTTTTTAAAGAATATCAATACAAACTTTATTCAGTTGCTGTGCCCACTAATGAGTATTTATCAAGCGTGTAGATATGTATTATTATTACTATAGTGTTTTGTAGTGCAGCAAGTTGTATTCTATTCAAACAATCTATAGCGCAGTAAAATATATTATGTTTTTCGCTTTATGATATCTCTTAGATAACAGTCTAATTGGCACTCAACTCCTTTTATATTTAGATTTATACGATTATTAGTTTTAATGAAATTATTTATCTTTTGTAAACTATTGACGGTAATTTATTAAAAAAAACACTTAATATGTTTTCCCAAAGTTGAAATGAATGGCATATTTATTCATTATACATATAATTTCACGTGCATAATAATAATATATAAACCATTTAAATTCGTTTTATTTGAAATACACTAGCAGAAAAAATTTAAATAATATTGAAGACATCAAGTGGTATGTATTTCCCCGAATAAAGTAAAATTGCCAAACTTGGAAAGTACAAGTAAACGCGTATTAATTGCATAATTGTACTTGACGTTAGGATTAAAATATAAGATCAAACGCTTATTTTCTATTAAGCAAAATATTACTGTAGAACTTACAAAGTTAATTATACTTATCCTCCAAACGATAATGCTGTAATGATATACAATATATTTTATATACACATTAAAAGATTACGTAAACGTAAATCGCTTTTCTTTGCGTTTAAACATTCCAAATTCGATCCGTTCCGGGAACGGAATGTTTCATTTGAACATTCTATGAAACATTCATGGAATTTTTGGCGTTCAAATTCTACGAGTAAAAACTTTTATATAATGAAAATCATTATTAGTCGATATATTTTTAAGTATATTGTGTTTGTTGAAGTCATGCCATACTTTTCTATATTTAACAACTCATAAGGAAGAGTCTTTAATAAGGGTTAATTGAAAAAGTATCCTTGAGGGTAAGTACTGAAATGGCCCCCTTTAAGATCATTATTGTTAAAAGATAAACGCAGTGGAAAATGATCGGTAAAGGTGGAGAAACGGAATAACTTCAAATCAACCTATTGGTTCAATATACAAAGAACTAATTTTACTACATAGTGTTTGTTTAATATTATATTATTATTCATACGAATAAATAATAAATATTATATTAAATTTGATGCATAGCTTCTTATTTAGGTATCAAGTATCAACCCGCCGAATGATCAAATTAATAATATTATTAATTATTAATAATCACCAGTATACAAAAACAAAAAATGTGAAAACTAAAAGAAATATGGAAAACTATTGGCGGGTTTTTATTAAACCTGTTTTTATTCTACGGTTCAAACCAAAAACTTTCTCCTGCTAGCTTTATCCTGCTTAAAGCTGTGGAAACTGCTTCAATTGATATTTAAAAAGATTTTAAAAAACGGAAATAATTTTTTTTTTATGAACTTTGGCATGCTAGTAAGTTAGTAATCGCTGAAATGTTAAATTCGCTTCTTATAAACAAGTAACTCTAAACTATAATTATATTTATATAACACAGTCCCACATAAAAGAAAAAGTAGGGTTTTCAGACGAACCAGACTAGTCATTTCTTACGAATTTTGAGTTATTAAATTAAAATCCTAGGACAAAATTGTTTAATTTTAGGGATTATTTTTAATTATTTTTTTTGGGGGGGGGGGGTTAGTAAAAGTACAATAGTTTACTTCGGAATTACAACTTGGAATTCGGATTCAGCGACCTATGGACAATTATAGGACATACTGTTGAAATGTTGAACAATTATTACATAATCCATAATTGTATTCCAATACATTTTTTTAAAGTCTTAACACCACAAATGAGCACTTAGTCTACGCGTGGAGTCTTTTTGTGATTAATGAACATACTGGCGGTTCTTACTTAAGTAAATGGCTTAATATTATTTGTTTAATCTGACTTATGAGGAACGTTAAAAAGGAAAAATTCCACCAGGATTAAAGTTTATAATACAAAAAAAAAATATTGTTATGTTACTTGAGACTTGGGACGAAAATCGCTGGGACATGTGCCAAAGCTTGGAAAAAACAATTGAAGAGTGAAAATTGATACGATACGATACCTACTCAACCCTATGTCTTTTCATGAGTGCTAAAACTGCTATTTTCCGGTTGAAAAACTACTTGAAATACTACCGGCCGTTGTTCAATATTGAGTTTGTGTGTGTATGGGTATAGTATATGTAGTGTGAATGGTATTACCTCGAGCCTGAACATTCTACAAGGCCACTTAATGTATTTTACCGTATGAAAAACACAAATTGTCCCTGTAGGTTCGGTACGGTATACTACGTTCCGCGAGACTCGATCGGATCAAGTAATACATTTAAATTATAAAGTGTGCATCTAAACTATATAATATATACGTTACACTGGTTATTACTTTTATCAATACAAACAAATGATATGTTTATAGGTATAATAAACAATAAGATAAATTATATTCACTAATGATGTTGTACACTGTATGAGTTCGGTCTATAAAATATATATCTATAATAATAAAATTAACTTTATAAGCTGTTATGATACAATACTTACAATGATTTTATACATTCGGCAAAACATCTTGGTAGCAGTGATATTTTTTTTTGAAATCGGTCCAGTAGACACTTCAGAAAGTGACTTCTTGTTTTAGTCTTGATTTGTATCAAATTTGGCGTTTTCCCTTCCCTTTAGGTAAGGTTAGGTTAGATATTATTATTTAGGGTAGTGATATAATAAGTGATAA